AAAATATATTTTTTTAAAAAAAGTGAATGCTGTGTAAGGATAGATAATAAGCTCAAGGGAATAAAACTGAGAGACCAGAAATAAATCAATACACTATGACTAAATGATGTTTCAAAAAATGCACCAAGACAATTCAATATGAAAAGAATAGTCTTTTCAACAAATAGTGCTGAGACAACTGGATATCTACATGCAAGAGAATGGAGATGGACCCATATTTCATGCCATAGATGAAAACTAAATAAAAGTGGACCAAAGATTTAAATATAAGACCTAAAACTATAAAACTCTTAGAAGAAAACACAGGCATAAATCTTCAAGACTTTGGATTAGGCGATGGCTTCTTAGATATGACAACAAAAGCATAAGTGATAAAAGCACAAACTAGGCAAATGTGACTTCATCAAAATTAAAACCGTGTGCTTCAAAAGACACCATCAAGACAATGAAAACACAACCCACACATCAGGAGAGAACACTGCAAATCATGTACTGATGACAGATTTGTATCCAGAACTTATAAGGAATTATTACAGCTTACAATAAAAGACAATTCAACTAAAAAATGGACAAAGTGTTTAAACAGACACTTCTTCAAAGACATACAAGCAGCCAATAAGCACATGAAGACACTCAACATCATTGGTCATTAAAAAAACACAAACCAAACTCACTTCCATCAAGTTGATTCCAACTCATAGCAACCCCCATTGGGTTTTCCAGGCGATAAATCTTTACAGAACCAGAGATACCACTTTACACACACTTTTTAAACAGTTGCCATGGAGTCAATTCCAATGCAGCAACCCCAAGTGTGCCAGAGTCGAACTACGTGCATTGGGTTTCAACAGCTAATTTTCAGAAATGGATCACCAAAACTTTCTCTGAGGCAGCTCTGGGTGGACTCTACCTCCAGCCCTTCAGTTAGCAGCCCCGCGCATTAACAGTTTGCACACCCAGGGACTCTTCACACTAAGGTCAGTGTAACTGAAAAGATGAAGAAGTGTTTGTAAGGATATAAAGAAATCACTCCTGCACTCTGATGGGAATGGAAAATGGCACAGCCAGTACGAACACTAATTTGTCAATTTTTCAAAAAGTTAAACATTGAGTTATCAGATGATCCAGCAATTCCAGTCATAGGTATATACTGAGAATTTAAGATATGTTTCCACAAGGATTTGTACATGACTGTTCATAGCAGCATTATTCCTGATAGCCAAAATCTGGAAACATGACAAATTAGCTGATTGATGGGTAAACAATGTAGTGTATCCATACAATGGAATATTATGTGCCTATAAAAGGAATGATTCACACTACACAACAGATGAACCTTGAAAACATTATACTCAGTGAAAGAAGCTACACACAAAAGGCCACCTATTACATGATGCTATTTACATACAATGTCCAGAATAGGTAAAGCCCCAGAGATGGGAGATGAGTGGTTGCCTGGGGCTGGAGGAGAGAGTTGGAGTGGGTAGAAGGTAACCATTCATGGGGCTAGGTTTCCTTTGGAGAGGTGATAAAAACATTCTAGAATTAGACAGTGGTATTGGTTGCAAAATTCTGTGCATATATAAAAACCATTGAACTGTGCACTTTAAAGGGGTGAATATTATGGTATGTAAATGATATCCCCCTGAAATTTTAAATGAAAGTCAAAAGTAAACAATAAAGAAAGCTGTTCTGACATAGAATGTTAGAAAGGTCTTTATTACCACTTATTAAGCACCAGCTTAATACTGCAAAAAAATTTCAAATCACCCTTCCATAATCTCCCAGAATATCCTGATGAGGAGCTTTTCAAGTAAAGACATGCTCTCTTCTCTCTTCCATATAAAACTTTATCAACTAAAGGCAAAGAACTGTGTACATCTTGCTGTAAAACGCTGCCCACGGCTGTGGAGACAGTGTCTGCCCAGGTCCCGCTACTGTCCAGGTCCTGAAAGACTCTTGTTCATGAACTGTCTCTTCACAAAGCAAGTCCACCACTGACGGGGGTAAAGGGGGCAAAAAAGAATCAAAGGTAGGAGTCAAATCACAATCCAATTTCAAAGCTGAGAATTCAAATTTATTTAGTAACGAAATTTCAAATTAGTCTAACAGCCCTAACATTAAAACTCTTTGCAAGCATATGTAAACTGTTTTCTTCTAAACTCGTAAGTCACTCAAAATAGTATTGTTTATTTTGTTAATAACAAAATAAACAAAATACAGTCAAGATATATCACACAAAAAAACTGCACTGTGGGTTTACAACGCTCTGACATACGAACATGAGCGAAAATTCTTTATTGTATGCAATTCACTATTCAGTTTGAGCCTGTGAACTCCTACTGTGCACTGGGTGCATCCTCAAAGTTAAGCAGCACAGCAATGCAGAAACCACACATATTCTTGCCCTGGAACGCCTAAGTATGTTTACTGGCTAAAGGGCAAAAACTCATGTGGGAATTAAATAAGCAAAGAACAGGTCTTACCTTGCTAGGCTTGTCATTCTGCGGGTCAAAAACTTTCTCACAAAGTCTCAGACCTGTCTCCTGCCTCAGCTGCTGTAAGTACGCCCTCATCACCTCTAAAATGAGCAGCAAGTACAACATTACGATCACATTTGAGAAAACATCCACATGTGCCAGCTGTTGGTTCAGCTAACGCCTACTGCATTTCTATACATTCAAATAGGGTCAGAGATAGAAATGGCGGTCCAAACGGTCTTATAACTGGATTTATTTAGGCCCAAAGGACTCTCTGCATGTCATACTTGTTGCTAAGAATCTTTTGTGAAAGTGACTAATTAGATAATCTATGTGCTAATGATTCCACTGTCAATCTGCACACCAACTGAGGCAAGAAGAAGAGGTTAGAGAGAGGGCTAAGTCAGGTGGTGAAATCTTCCTGTGCCCTATGCAGAGAGAGGGTAGGTACGCTGCACTCACCATCTTCCTGTCTGTTTGCAGGCTTGGCATAAATGGCATTAAGTGGAAAACCAGGCTCTCCAGGAATGGGGAAATTAGTGATTCCCAGTGTGTACATTTCTTTCTCACCTTGGCTTTTGGAATTGCACTACAAGTTAACAACAACAACAATAAAATTATACATGCACATATTTTACAGCAAAAAGGACAATATTCAAATTGTGATTTTTATTAGAATAAAATTAGAAGTTACAGTGGGAGTTATTGATGTTTTTGTGCCCTCTGGCAATCTGGTGAAACCTCTGGGCCCCTTTTAGACTAATGCTTATAAATGAATAAAATAAAATACATGAAATTACAGGAGAAACCAACAAGAGTAAATACAATGATTAAAATATTAAAAAACCTAATTTATATCGCCATATAAGTGCTTCTTAACATACTAACTAATGACAGCTAGCAGTGGGCCTAGTAACAACTGCACTTTTGAAGCAGCAATGAATGTAAACAAAATCTCCAAACACCCTCACCTCTTGTGCAGTGGGGAAAGACCAAGACTTCTAGCAGAGAAAACATCACAGATGGTGCTGACGCTACTGGGCACTGCATTATTATACACTGTGTACTGTATTATAACAAGGGAAGTAACTGCTACGTTTTAGTTCAAGGTTCATGCAAAGAAAGATGTCAGTTCTTCCAATTAAGTCCTTGAAGCCCAGGTTAAGGACTTCTGAGCCAAGTACTTAAAAAGAATGTCTTTGTCAAGATTTCTATTTTGGAAGGATATGCTCAAAGCCTTTAAAAGCGCCTCCACCCCATGTTCTCATTAGTCAAGGACGTAAGAGTCTGGAGAACCAATTTCACGCTGGCCTCTTAAGTCCACGCTCAAGTCACAGGAAATATTTCTACTTGTCCTCAAAGTCTCAACAAATTCCAGATGGCTAGAAGGGCCTAAGGCATTTGACTGCTAACCAGAAGGCTGGCGGTTCAAACCCACCAGCCACTCCTCAGAAGGAAGGTTGGGCAATCTACTTCCTTAGTGATACCGCCTTGGAAACCCAAGGAGGGGTCGCTATGAGTCGGGTCCAGTTCGACAGCACTGAGTTTGGTTTTGGTTTGGTACATGATTACCCAAGTTTAGTTACCTTCTGGAGTTTCTTTAGGCATTCAGAAATGTAGAGAGTTATATATATCAGGGTCCTATCCGCTTCATTCTGCAGAAGGGGGAAACAAAATGTAAAACAGAGTCCTGATCAAAATAGAAAAGTACGTGCAATGAACGAATTGCAGCTCTTCCTGGGGCTCATCTACTGCAAACTGCACTGGTGCACAGAGGCACCTTGCAAGAAAGGCCTGGTGATCTAGTTCCGAAAAAGCAGCAACTGAAGATGCTGTGGAGCACAAGGCTGCTCCGACACCCAAGAGGGCCCCACGGGTCAGAACCAACCTGCAGGCAACTAACACATAGCATCAAAAATTCCCATCCTCCAAATCCACGGTCCTCTGAAGCCCCCTTCTGGCCCACTCCAGGGGGGCAGCCCCGCTTCCACCCAGAGCTACGTGGCTGCTCTGGTCTGCACCGACTGCCCTCTCTCCAGGTTCCTGATGCACTGTGCCAACAGCCGCTCACTCTTCGTAGGAAGAATTAATAAAGCTGCCTGGAAAATCTGAGACACACCATATGCTCGGCTAATTTTTAAAACCCCTTTCAGTTCAGGCCCCTGCTGAGAACAGGAACATTCATTACTCTAAAGGAAGAAGCAATTATGTCAGCAGTGACTTGTTCCTGAAGAGTTCCATGAGGCCAACATCTCAGCCAACCCAAAAGGACAATGTGGGGAGAATGAGTGGGAGTGGATCAATGTGGCGTAAACTTCAGGTCAAACTTTATACAGATTTAGAGTTAAAACCAAAACCAAAACCACATTTCCCTACTTTGAAGACCCTACAATATTTGGGAGAGAACAGTTGTGGCAGAATTCTCTTTCTTTACATGTATTATAAACCAAATGTAACACTGAGACCCTGCATCAGGGAGACAACACTCTGTTAACAATACAGAACGTTCAGAATACACTTTGTAGCCTAGGAATCCACCAATAAAAAATTCCCATGCTAGTTGAGTCTAAAAGGTCAAAGTTTAGCAAGGGCAGGCTGCAGCTCAGTATTCTAGACTACCATCAAGAAAACTGACTTCTTAGCCACAACCAAACACCTTGAGGGAATGAGTCACTGGGCCTGAGGGCTCAGGGCCATGGTCTTGGAACACTAAGGCCAAATGGCATAACACGGTCCACAAAGACCATGTTCTACATCCTAATTTGGTGAGTAGCAACCGGGGTCCTTAAAAGCTTGTGAACAGCCAACTAAGGTGCAACTACTGGTCTCTCCCCACCTAGAACAAAGAATAGTGAAGAAAATCCAAGATTCATGGAAATAATCAGGGCAAAGGACCAATGGACCACATGAAGCCTCCACAAGCCTGAGACCAGAAGAACCAGGTGGTGCCTGGCTACCACTGATGACTGCTCTGAAAGGCATCACAGTGGGAGGTCCCACATACAGAAAAAACAGGGAAAAACCTCAACATCATGGAAAAAAGAGCCGGTTTACTGGTCTGATAGAGACTCCCACAACCCCTGAGTACGGCCCTTAGACACATTTCAAGCCTGGAACTGAACTCATGCCCATGGCTTAACTTTCGGCCAGAGGATAGGCAGACCTATAAAGTAAGCAGTAACACCAGGGAGGTCACATTCCTTGGGACAATCAACCACAGGAGATCAAAAGGGCAGCAAATGCCCCGAAGTGTACCTCAAAAGGAGAAAGGGATAGAATAGAAGGGCTGAAGGGAAACATTAAGCACAGGGGGCAAGTGGGAAGAGAGCTGTTACACTGTGGGGACTGCAATGAATGTCACAAAACAAAGTGTGCATGTATTGTTGAATGGATAACCAATTTGCTCTGTAAACTTTCACCCAAATCACAACAAAAAATAAAACAAAAACAAAACCTCATTGTCATTCCTTGTAACTTACTCAGAAACTTAGAAAACTTTTCATTTCTCCTCTCTTTTTCTGTCACCTCCCTTCAACCTTCCCATTGACCCTGTTCGTCATAGGATCTAAGAAGGATGGTAAAGGGTAGGTACTTTAGGGTATGGTCAAGGTCCTTCATTTTATTTCTCCACCTTAGGCCCAAGACATAGAAGTATATAAAAAAATAGTAACACAGTACATAGTATTGTTTTGGTTTTGGACTACAGCTTGCACATTGTAGGTGCTTAATGAAGTCTAAAGAAGTATCTGGACTAAGAACTAACAAACTCCCTTGCAAAGGGCTAGACAACAGATAGACACTGTGGGCTACACAGTCTTTGTCACAGCCACTCAGGTCCGTGGTGCGGAAGCAGCCACAGACAGTATTTAAGCAAATGAACATGGCTATGCTTCAATAAAACTTTATTTACACAAAAAGGTAGCAGGCCAGGGTGGAGGTCCCTAGGCCATCATTTGCTGACCTCTGGGGAGTAAAAGAGAAACTAATATTTATACAGTCTAACAGTAGGCACTGTGTTCCGGATTTTTAAAAATCACAGAATCTTGTTTTATTCCACTCATTCCTTTCAAGAATCTTGACTGCAAGGTAGGTATTTACCCCCATCAGAAAACTAAATTAAGTATTAAAAGCTCTGTAACTTACCTTAATTTCATAGTTTTTGAAGAAGACATTGGCCTTGAAGTAATAGATGGCCTCATCCACAATATCTGTATCTTTTGCTAAGTAAGACACAAAGGAGGAGGGCAGGGAACGTTAGCCAAATATAGCACCTAAAAAAAGCTACAGGGTTCCTTAAAAAGTTAAACATAGAATTACCATGTGACCCCACAATTCCACTTCTAGATAGCGACCCAAAGGAACTGAAAACAGGTACTCAACAAACATACATGCTCATAGCAGCACTAGCCACAATAGCCTAAAGGTGGAAAAAGCCCATCTTTCAGATGAATAGATTAATCAACTGTAGTACACACACACAATGGAGTATCATTCAGTCACAGACAGGAATAAAGTACTGATACATGCTACAACATGGATGAACTGCAAAAACATCTGGCTAAGTGAAAAGAATCTGGACATAAAAGGTCACGTATTTGTATGAAACCACAGGCATATTTGTATGACATTCCAGAAGAGGCAAACCCACAGAGAGAAAGCCGACTGGCTGTTATGTTACCAGGGCTGGAGGGCAAGAAGGATGGGGAGAAACTGCTGAATGTGTGCGGGTTTCCTTCTGGGCTGATGAGAATGTGCTGGAACTGGAGAGGTGTAGTTGCACAACCACATAAATGTACAAAAAACAACAATAGACCCACTGCCGCTGAGTCGTTTCCGACTCCTAGCGACCCTGTAGTACAGAGCAGAACTGCCCAAGGGTTTCCAAGGCTGTCGATCTTCACAGAAGCTGACCGACATGTCTTTCTCCTGTGGAGTGGCTGATGGCTTCAAATGCCCAAGTCTTTCTCTGCTGGGGGGCTGATGGCTTCAAATGCCCATGTCTTTCTCTGGTGGAGTAGCTGATGGCTTCAAACTGCCAACCTTTCAGTCCGCAGCTAAGTGCTTCATCAGTGTGCCACCAGGACTCCTTGTAAATGTACTGTCACTGACTTGTTCACTTTAAAATTGTTAATTTTATATTATATGACTTTTACTCAATAAATTATTAAGGAAAAAAAAATCCAAGTTCAACTGTCAAGAGTTTTGGGGTTGGATAAAACGCAGCAAGGCTACTGAAATATAACATCATTAGAAACAATGCCTGGAGCAATAAACACATGGCTTATTTTCTAGCTTTATTGTTTTTATAAAAAATATACATGCTTATTGGGGGTGGGGGGGAAACATTGCCCAGAAATAACTACAATTAACATTTGGTGAACATCTTCCCAGACATCTCTTCATGCATTTATAAAGACAGATTGAAACACAGAGATTAAATGCTTTTTGAAAATAAAAAAAATATGAATGTAATTTTATTTAATACTATAGTTTTGGGAAAAAAAATAAAACCCTCAATTGTCACTTGGGAAAATGCTCAGGTTCAGACATGCATTTTTCTTTCCACGAAAACTACAACAAAAAGTTTTTGTACAAGTTGTTCTAGGTGGCTAGTGACTGAGAAAAGCCAGAAATACTGTTTGACAAAGGCAGATTTCACTACATGATTTTTCTGGCAATTTTTTTTTCCTTATTTTTTAAAAAGGTCAAAATCCCAGGGCTGTGGTAGGGCAGCTGGTTTCAGCAATCCCAGACAGTTATTTATATTTTGTGTCCATGACCACTGTCCCTTCTCACAGCAGAAATACAAAGTAACCCCGAAGTGTCAGCATTCTGCCCTTCAGTCCTCCAGCTCTCATCGCCTGAAGAACTGCAATGGAATTCGAATTCTTGACTGTGTTCCTTACAATCCATCTTTTTTTATGTGCAAAAAGAAAACTTCGTCAGAGGATTCAATAGTGTCTACAAGACCAGCCAGTGATTTTGGAAGACGGGGAGGATACAATTCAGAAACCAGAAGAGTGCTGGGGATATAAAGTGCTCAAAAGATACGTGGTGACTGTAAATTGGATTAATTTGAACCAAAAGGTGGTGGTTCAAACTCACCCTGCGGCTCTGTGGGGGGAAGACTCGGTGACCTACTCCTGTAAACATTACGCCCCAGAAAACCCTATGGGGCAGTTCGACTTGGTCACATGGGATTGCTATGAGTCAGAACAGATTCCATGTCTGTCTAAAAAAAAAGGGTGTGGGGGCACCTCAGACCTCCTCATCTTACTTCACAAGGGCGGAGGAGAGAGAATCAAGATCAACATCAACTCAAAGTTGATCTCTAGCAGGGGGAAGTCAGACATGTCTCCATCCTCCAAATTTTTTTAGCAGTTCTGACACCAGTTGTCTCTCCCATGGCACTCTCTACTTCTTTGCTGGGTTAAAGAATTCATTGCAATGGCCACACAGAACTCACAGACCATACGACAGTTATGGGGTTTATTAGGAAAGTAACAGGTTACAAATCTGGCTCAGGATACAGTTCTTGGATCGGGGCAGTTTCTCGGCGGTGCCTGAAGGCAGGCTTCTGCCTTGGGGCTTAGCCCCTAAGCTGTAGTAAATTACCTGGTATGGCTTTTCTAGACTTAAGTCTGTAAACTCAGTGGTGGAATGAGCAACTGAGGAGCTCCTGATTGTAAAAGTTATCCACCCGGGGTATTTCTGTTGGGTGTGGCACAACGCAATGTTCTGGGAGGTTCGCTCTCTCTCAGGTGCTTAGAATTCTGATGTTATGACTGGTTAGTTTGGCCACTGTGCTGGGCTCAAAAGGAGGCCTCCTAGAGGCAGAATGCTCTCTCTGACCTCTGGCTAAGGAAGACGTGCTGCTGAGAAAGAGACACTGAGAGACATGCATTGCTGGAAGAGAGACTGAGAGAGACTGTTGGGTGAGAGGTGGCAGGCTGGGAGAGAGACTGAAAGTTGTTCCTGAACTTGAACTGTAGCCTGGTGCTTCCCTAATAAGCCCCATAATCTGTGAGTTCTGTGCGGCTACTGCAGTGAATTATCATACCCAGGAGAGGTGGTGGGTGCTTTGGGAGGAACGGTTGGTAAAAGGGCTGGAGGGAGGCAGCATGTCTGGCCTTGCAGGAATAGGCCTTGGGTTACTGACAGTGACTCTGTCTTCCTCCTTGGCCTTTCAGCAGCCCCTTAACCTGGCTTCTTCCCTGCTCAGTCCACTGTTACTAAGCTCTTCAGCTCCATCAGTAAGTTCCCAGAGGAACCCCTCTCTGTCAGAAGGCCTCAGCCTGCAGGCACTCAGCACTCGCCCCATGGCTCATTACACCCACTGCAACCACCTTGCTCTGCGGGCCAGGGGCTCACTGTGCTGTTCTGTGCCAGGGTCCTGATCCTGCTGCCCCTGTTTCTGTGCTTCTAACCCTTCTGGGGTTACAGCTGTTTCCTGGTCAAGGAAGTTCATAGTGCAGGGACCCCAGGTCCAAAGAACACACTCTACTCCTGGCTCTTCTTCACAGTAGTTAGCTTCCTCTTTAGCCTCTGGGATTGGTTCATTTTAAGCCTGAATGGATGGCAAGACTGACTAATCTACAAGGGTTCCACAAGACCTTAATTGCACGGTTCCACCCCTTGTGAAGGTTCCATGTACATTATTTGAATTGTTAACAGTCTGTCCAATCCCTTAGGTGGGCCACAAGCATAGTCCCGCCCAATCATTTGGTGAGAAACACAAGACCATGGCTAGAAGGGCTATATTATAGTAATTCACTTATCACAATGGCACCTAATAAGAACTACAGTTATGGAGCTCACAGCACAGGCTTTCTCTCCTCCAGAACCCAATTCTGTTCTAATCCAGCTCCCTAGGGAAGAGCAAAAGGTCATTCTTTGTCTATAGAAACTACAAAGCTCTGGTTTCTTGGATCCCATTCTCCCTTAAGGACCAAGGAACTGCAAAGGTGGTAATTACTAGATTTATTCCATCCTTGGTCAAAGCATCTTCTGATATATTAGATGGTATCTGTATACTTCTCAAGGAATCAGGGCCAACATCAATTCTTGTTTTTCCTCTGCACTGCAATTCTTTTACATATATTTTTTTCTTTTTGGGTCTTTTTCCATCTGTTCTTTTTCCTTCATCTCAGAATCAAGTAAAGACTGTGGTGATTCACCATATTTATTAAGTTTACTGAGTAATAAATTGGTATTGAAGAAAAATTAAATTAAGCCGAGGTCATGTCAAATAATTTGGCAGAGGAATGGAGAGAGGGTCAGAACAAACTAGAAACTGTAACTGTGGTCCTGGAAACCATGAACAGAACACAGTTCAGACCCTGCAGGGCTCTGCCCGGGATACAGGGAAATTTCGTCTACTAAAATTCAAATTACACTATTGGCAGAACATCTCAGAATGCATCAGCAGAGTCTCAGATAGTATATGAAAAAGAATAGAGCTTTCTGAACAGCAAAACAGGTTTCAAAAAGCAGAGTACCAAAAAAAAAAAAATATTTTAAAGGGACAAGTACTAAGAAAGAAAACAAAGATGTAAAATCAATAAAGGAAGAGCAGAGATGAGTTATGTTATAAAAAGTACTAAGAAGAATGCATAAAGTAGATTTAGATGTATAAGACATTAAAGCTTATTTATTAATTTTTTTAAATTTGATGATAAGGATAGGGACAAGGCATTCTGCAGAGGCAGCAGCATTCGATTCAAAGAACTGACAGTGAAGGCAGCAACAGTGTCCAGGAACAAGCACATTTTTCCTTCCCTCTCAACAAAATATCCTGGAGAAATCAGCAGTAACAATAGAGTCTGCTATTAGATGCAACACATATAACAGTGATCACAAAAGGCCTAGAGCATCCACCGAGCAACATCAAGTGTTAGGAGCCACGTGAGACAGAGGACTGAGCTGAGGCCTGCCTTGATCCGAGAATGTCAGAGGGTTGCCAGGCACTCCCCACCAAAATCTGAAAGTGACGGAAAAGGATTCAGACTTACTCTCTCGAGGGGCGGGTCCTTTGAACTGACTTCTGATAGGAAGCAGTGCCATGTTTCCAATTAGTTTGGTGTCAGGGTCCATGAGAGAAGAGTGGTAGGCCTGTAATGGCATGCCAGGTAAGAACACGGAAGCTGGAGGGGTGCAAATGTCATGGAAGCAGACAAGGGAGAAAAAAGGGGATCCTGCCCCATACCAACTAGGGCAGAGAAGGAAGCAGCAGTGTGCTGGAGCTTTGACCAGCTCAGGAAATCTGATTGTAAAATTCTGCAGAATTTTTTAAGCTGATTGTTAAACACAGGCAATTATGAAAACCTAAATTATACAAACTTACAATTAAACTGTATTTCCAAGAAAGGTTTTTTAAAACGCTTAAAACCCATCATTTAATTATTACATTTTACTATTACCTATGCTCTTAAAGTTATTTTTATCTTTTGTACCTTGTTAGTAGAAGTACTGTATACCGGGGTGCTACTATGCATCTCTTCCTAGTTCCATGTTCAGTGACATCACATTGGTAGCTGGTTAGAGAATACTACAGAAATTTGTATCCTCCCATCGCTGTTTGTTCAACATTTACTATGACTCAAGCACCAGCTTTTCAGTTCTGCCATTTCCTGGCTATATGTCTTTTGCCAAGATGTCACATTTCTCTTAGTTGTTTCCAAATATTTAAAATGAGGACATACTACCTTCAATGGATAGGGGTGAGTTAAAAAGGGGGGCGGGGCAGGAGGAACCACATTTGTGAGAACTAACTGCATGCTGATTCTTAATTCTGCTTTTTATAAGTAAGACAGCATAGTCCCCATCCATGCATTCCATGAAAATTACTAAGCACCTTCTATGTGCAAGGCACAGTGATATAGTGATATATAAAACCTGTCTGGTCCCCACTCTAAGAGCACTTTCAGGCTAATGGAGAACACAGACACTAAATCAGGAACCACAGGGGAAGTCCAGGGTACTCTGGGAGATAAAAGAAGGCCTCCTGGACACATAAAAAAAATTCAGTGCCATTGAGTTGGATCTGACTCATAGCGACCCCTCCTTGGGTTTCCGAGGCGGTAGCACTACAGAAGTAGATTGCCCAACCGTCCTTCCGTGGAGTGGCTGGTAGGTTTGAACCGCCAGCCTACTGGTTAGCAGTTAAGTGCCTTAGGCACTACGCTACGAGAGCTCCCTCTGAGGCGGTATCACTATGGAAATAGATTGCCCAACCTTCCTTCTGCGGAGTGGCTGGTGGGTTTGAACCGCCAGCATTCTGGTTAGCAGTCAAATGCCTTAGGCACACTAAATGGTAGCTACAGGATTCATGACATCGTTAGGTGGTACAAACAGTTAACACACTCTAACTGGAAGGTGAGAGGTTCGAGTCCACCTGGAGGTGCCTTGGAAGAAAGGCCTGGCAATCAATGTACTTCTCAAAGTCCTCTGGTGTACACTTCCTCTGACATACATGGGGTTGCCACCAGCCAGCAGATTTAGCTGGTAACTCTACCGAAACAGATTGCCCAGTCTTCCTAGGAGGAGTGGCTGGTGGGTTTGAACTACCAGCCTTCTGGTTAGCAGTTAAATGCCTTAGGCACTACGCCATCAGACACTATTTTAAACAGCCTCTGCCCTCCCTTTCACCAATCTCGGTCTCATTACCTATTTCCTTCACAACCCTTGTCACTATCTAAAATTATCTCCTTTATCTGTTTACATGCTGTGTCCCCATTAGAGCAGGAATCTGCTGGACTTACAGCGCTAGTAGTGCTTAGCATGCAGTAAGTACTCAGTAATGTTACATGAGTAACCCCATGTTACTGAACCTCATTTTCCCCAATGAGCACAACGAAGACCATGACGGTGATAAATTCACCCCACAGACTGGCTGTTACAAATAAAGGGCAACCAGACCATCATCAATATTTACTCCCACTCTGACGCCAGGAAAACGAAAACATTTGCAAACCGGGCGCTAGCCTAGAGTGGGCTCTGGGGACCCTTATATCCAGCTGGCTCAGGGGTGGCCGTCACTGCCGAGGCGAGAGGGGAGGAGCCCGGGAAGTGAGCGAGAGGGACCTGCCCCTGCGCGGAGAAGGAAGTAGGCCTGACAGAAAAAAAGAAGCCGGTCCTTGGACCGGCTTCATGAAAAATAAAAAAGGCAGCCCTAGACTCCAGCTCTAGTGAGCTTTTGGGAACCCTGCTGGGCTTGGGGGGAGCAGAAAGGGAGAGAAAAGGGGGTGACGATTAGAGAGAACGGGACGGGATGGGCTGCGGCGGCCTCCTCGCACACCCCGGGGATCCGGGCCACTCCTCCAGGCCCTGGCGGCCGACACCTCTGATCGTCCGAAAGCGGCACAGAGGCCTCTACCCCTCGCCTCTCCTCTCTCCCAGGCCTCCGCTTCCTCTCCGCCTCCATAGCCCGCTTCTGTCAGAGCACATATGAATTCTCACCAGTCTCTCCGATCCCCGCCATCTCCCCACACCCTCTGCCCGGCCCCTCTCACCGGCATCTTGGCGGCGCCGGGGTTCGGACTGAATTGAGGAAGTTCAGCTAGCGCACGGCGCTTCCGGCCTGGCGGCCTGGGCGGGGTAGGCGGAAGCGATCCGGAAGTGAGGGAGAAGCGTTTCCGGAGTCCTTTACCGCCATGATTATTGCAGCTGTGGGGAAGCTAAGTGGCACCAGGGGGCGCCCGAGCACTAGGCAAAGACTCTGAGGGCCGCGCATGCGTAAGGCGCGCGCGCAACGGAAAGACCCTGTTACTGAATTCCAGTGATCACGTTCCCCACCCCCACCCCCGCTGAAAGCTCTCTCGGTGAAGCCTTCCCTGGTCACCCTATTTTAAATTCACTCCCACTCCACCGCCTTGCTTTACTTGTCTTTCTTTCCCGCCTTTTTCTATGTTGTTGTTGTTATGTGCCGTCGAGTCGGCCCCGACTCATAGCGACCCCTCCTTGGGTTTCCGAGGCAGTATCACTAGGGAAGTAGGATTGCCCAACCTTCCTTCCGAGGAGTGGCTGGCGGCTTTGAACCGCCAGCTGTCTGGTTAGCAGGCAAGTGTCTTAGCCACTATGCTACCAGAGCTCCCCCTTTTTCTATAGTCATTGTATATTTTCATACTTCGTTTCTGATGTTTGTGTACCACCCAACCCATGGGGGTGTAAAAAAGTCCAAGGATCTTGTCCCTTTAGTTTCCCACTTATCCAAGCATTTGCAAACCGGGCGCTAGCCTAGAGATCAAACAGTGATGGTGTATGTTGTTGTTATGTGCCGTGGAGTTGGCCCCGGTGACCCCTCCTTGGGTTTCCGAAGTAGTATCACTAGGGAAGTAGATTGCCCAATCTTCCTTCCCAGGAGTGGCTGGTGGGTTTGAATCGCCAGCCTTCTGGTTAACAGTCAAGTGCCTTAGGCACTATGCTACCAGAGCTCCTATGGTATATAGTAAGCATCAATAAATACTGGTTGAGTGAATGAACTCACTCGTTTCATGAGGAAACTGGAGGACAGGTTAGGGCCTTGTGCGTTACCCTGTACTGCAAATTCCTCCCGAGAGGTTGGGGATGCCCACTCTGGAATTGATTGCTGGCTCCAGCATTAGCTGGACACTAGCTGTGTCATTCTATGCAAGTAACCTCTGTGCCTCAATTTCCTCATCTGAAAATGGCAGTAACACTACCTACCTCACAGTCTTGTGACGATTAGATGAATTGCATGTGAAGTGCTTAGGTCTTACACACCTGGAACATAGTAAAGCACTGAAAGCCATTTTCAGTCCATTACTATAAAGCACCTGGTGTTAAGCCAAGTGTGTCCTGCCTCAGAGCCTCATTTTCTGACACCCTCTCCGACTGAACACTTCACTTGCCACGTTCCCACAAGTGACTTCTCGCTTAGGCCTCTACTAAACAGCACCCGTACTAGATTCCTGGGGCTGGCTTAATCAACTATCACAAAGTGGGGAGCTCTAAAACGAGAGAAACGATTCTCACAGTTCTGGAGGTCAGAAGTCCCAATTCAGGATGTCAGCAGGGCCACACTCTCCAAAGGCTTTCAGGGCAAGACCCTTTGTCTCTCTGAGTTTCTGGTAGCCCGCGTTCCTTGGCTTGCAACTGCAGCCTAATGTAATCACCTGGTATTCTTCCCTGTGTCTCCCTGCCTTTTTTGTTGTTGTTATTTCCCTTTTTCTTTAACTTTTATTTTGTTGTTGAGACTATACACTGCAAAACACACCAATCCAAGTTTCTACACGTGCAGTTCAGTGACACTGAATATTCTGAAGCTGTGCAAGCACTCATGCAGGAGCAATGAGTTACTCCTTCCTCATTAACCTAAACTCACTGCCCCTAAGATTCCCATCTAATCTTTTAAGTTGCTGTTGTCAATTCAATCCCATATAGATTGATCTGAAAAAAGCGTAATGCTCAAGGCAGCTCTTTTTAACTAGTAAAGGTAAACTACAGTATTGCTCAGTTTTAAGACCTTAGGGGATATTTTTGGCTCAAGGTTTAAAGATTATCTCAGGGCAATAGTTTCAGGGGTTAACCCAACCTCTACTGCTATAGAAAGTCTAGAGTCCATGAGAATTTGAAATTCTATTCCACATTTCCCCCCTTTTGATCAGGATTCTTCTAAGGAATCTTTGATCAAAATGTTCAGTAATGGTAGCAGGTCTCCATCCAGTTATTCTGGTCTCATGACAAAGGAGGCAGTTCTTTATGGAAGCAATAAGCCACACATTCCATATCCTCTCCCTGTTCCTGATTCTCCTTCTTCCTTTGTTGTTCCAGGTGAATAGGGACCAAACATAATACCTTGGATGGCCACTTGCAAACTTTAAAACCCCAGGCACTACACACTGAATGAACTAGGAGGTGACACAGAAGCACTAAACATGTTATTTTGCCAACTAATGGACCATGACTCTGAAACTCCAAACCAAGAAACTTCCATGCTCTTATCTTTTCTCAGGACAGCACTCATCTTGGATTAGGACCCACCCTACTTCGGGTGATCTCATGTTAACTCCTAACATCTTCAAGGACCCTATTTTCAAACAAAGTCACACTCACAGTTACCAGGGGTAAGAATATCAACCTGTCTTTCAGGGATACACAATTCAATCCATAACAGGACCTTTTTGGAGGGGCCTAAAACTACCCAATTGAGTGTAGCAAGAATTACAAAGCTACATCTTATGAAATTTTGTATTTGTTACTATTCAAAGAAAGCACAAATTTTTAAATGCTAAAACTACAAACATCATTTAGGAAAAAAAAAAAAAAAAATCACTGCCTTCATTTTGACACTCAGGGGAAATTTACTCATTGAAAAATGTGCCCCGGCTGAGTGCTCCAAATTCTGATTAGAAAACAAAAATGTAATGAAAGGTTAATGCTACTGTTCTGTTTCGTGTGTATCTTAAAATACAGCTATTTAAAATTTTAAAATTACAGGTAGTCCCTGACTTACGACAGGGTTCAAGTCCAACAACTCTGTCCTGTCGGTTCTGATAGAAGTTGAATACCTTTCTTTTTTTTTAGCTTTAGTTACTATTGCCTTTCATTACCAGTATCTTTATGAATCTCATCTCTGAACACCTGTAAATGAAAATCTGAGGATGATAACCCCAGCAAATTATGTGCTACAATATTGTATACAGTACATATTACTAAGATCAAAAAACTTAAACCAAACTCACTGCCTCGAGTTGATTCTGACTCATAGTCACCCTCATTGCGTTTCTAAGGCTGTAAATGTTTATGGAAGCAAAGTGCTCCATCTTTCTTCCACAGAGCAGCTGGTGGGGTTTGAACCATGGGCCTTTTGGTTAGCACCCAAATGCTATGACCACTGCACCATCAGAGCTCCTTCATTACTAAGATTTAAAAAAAAAAAAAAATAGTTTTGAGTACTATCGGGTATAACGAATACAGGCATCCCCTGCTTTTCCAAGTCTGCTTTACACCACTTTACTTTTATGAAAGACCCACATTAGTACCTGTTTTTGCTAACAGAAAGAAATCTGAAGATTTCTGTTTCAGCATTCAACATTTGTTTTGCAGCAAGCCGTTAAAGAGGCAGTGCACAGACTGAGCGGTGAGAGTGAAAGCGCCAAGCTCCTTCCCCAGGATCTGCACTCAGCATCTCAGCATCAAGCCACTACAGCTTTAAACTGTCTGGGAACACTATTATGTTAGTGTTCTTCCAGGTTTTATGTGTTACTTGGTATAGTATTTTTTGGGTCTGGGAATGCTCACAAATTATTTTCATATAAATTAATGGTAACTGCTTCTTCACTTTACACCATTTCAGTTTACAAAAGTTTTCATAGGAACACTCTACCTTCAGAGAGTAGGAGAAACCTTTACATTGTAAGTTTGGGACTACCTGTACACAGATACATTTTCACTGTAGAAAAACTGGAAGATACAAATATGCAATGTCTTATCTACATCCTTCTGTATTTTTTTCATATATATATATATATATTTACAGTTAATTCTTGACTAAAATCCTCAAAAACAAAAACAAAAAATGATGTTGGACTGGTTTTAACTGTAGCCCAAGTGCTAACTTAAGTTATATACAAATCTATGTACATTCATTTCAATTTCTAAAATCTAAATTGATAGTTAAAATAATACCAAAAGACTCCACTTTAAACAGCAGCAGAATAACCCAGAATATGATTCAGGCATCTGCCAGTAACAGCCAAGTAGTATTTTTTCCCGTTAAACTTTTCCCATTGCCTTCTACTACTGCATCCTTTGAAGAGAACTCAGTGGGTTCTGCCACAAGCTCTTCACATATATAGTTACTTTTTAGTAAAATCTTCATTCCCTCTGGTGTTCCTGAAAATATTCATCAAACATAGAAGATGACTCTTCTTCATGTTCCTGACAAAAGAGAAGCAAAATAGAAAATGCATTCATTTCCCCTCAGGCAGCTCTGGTGTGTATATGTGTTTTCCCACTCATATTCTCCAATGAGCTGACATCTAACAGCAGCTCTGGGTGCGCTGCTCATACGTAACGGTTAACAATAGTGAAAGGCATGATAAGATTTTTCCAGGTGTGTGGTAAGTTAGAGTACTTATGTGTCATTGGAAGCATTTCTTCTTTGCCTTTCGGATCAATTACACAGATTCTCAGCTGATGGCTGACCACCATCAGCCTTTCCCTGACTATGTGAGGGCAGCCCAAGGCCAACTAGATTTCCTCATCTCTGCAAAAACCTTCAAGACTTAACTCAGTAATGATACCCAACAAATGGTGGAATAAAACCGATCTTACAGTCGAGCACAGGGGTCCATATCTGAGGTCACCCAGAAAAACCCAGGGTACTCGACCAGTCACACAAAAATTAATTTTAAACTGCCTGAGTTTTGCAGGAGGCCAGTGAGTGCTGGCAACCATTTTTCCCAAAAGCCACCAATTACTGCAAACTTGGAAATTACCTTCGGTTCTTTAAATTCCAAGTCTTCTCCATACTGAATAGCAAAATCAATATGCTGTAATACAATGTTCATGCTTTCTTCATCAGACTGATCATACGGTAAAAATCGCACCATGCTGTAGTCGTCAATCTATACATTGGGGATTTCAGAGAGATTCATGTTGAGGCTGTGCAAAATGCATCATTTTCCACTTCTATTTGAGCTTTAGAACCTTTTGTACTTCTCATTACAAATGTGTGTGTGTGGAGGGGGAGGCAAGACATAGCTGGAGAGAGAACAGTAGCAAATCATTACTGATTTTTCTAACCTCTGACCGATCAGAATACTGCCAGCAGATTACTTAACTGGACATGTATGACTTCATGGGTATTTATCCAATTGCCCAACTGTTGGAAATTTTGTAAGCACATGAATAGTTCTAAAATCCCCAAATCACCTGGAATCCAGATATGCCAGTTTATTTATTGGCCATCACCAACAATTACTTCTAGATTAACCTGCTGCTCAGACAGCCCACAGTCTCCCACCAATCCCAGTGGGGCTGACTGTGCTTTTCTGAAGAGTGGCCACTGACTGCGTGACGGGTAAACACCTGATCCAGGGTTACAATCTGCAGATACATCAGCAAATTTACTCCCAGGACTTTGACCACAGAAAGTCAGTTTGAGTCTATTAAACATATTCTCTCTGGAGCTTGAGCTGAGACAAAGAGAAATGACAACTGGTTCTAACGCTAGTGATGTAAACTCATACAACAGCTGCAGTCATCTGCAGAAAGACTTCGAAGTTGCTTAAGAACATGGCCAGATCGATGTCGTGAGCAGGAACACGCAGAGGGGGCTGAGAAGTGGAGAGGGTGGCCTTGCTTTCTGACCCGGGGCTCCCACCTTGGTTTCCTGGAAGTCTCAATTACATTCTCTGCCCTCCTATTCTTTGGAACTGTGTGTATCGTGATACTGTCACATTCCCCTCTTCATCCTCAATCCCACTATACTGAGAAACCAGGAAAACGTCAACATTCAGTACCAGTCATGCTAGACACAAAACCTCTGTGTTAATGGTATTCCATAGAACTCCTTTAGAAAGCAGTCATCATGTTTAAGACTGTTTGCACAGACTCGTCTAGGGAGACTATGGCAGCTCAGGTTAGTGCTGCTATGGAAATTCTGGTCAACAAGCTTTTCTCTCAACCAGTCACATTAGGGGTCCAGAGTCCTGGCTCTGCACCAGCCAGGAGCCTTTCCTGAGGCTGCCTGTGGCCAGGGTATTCGATGCTCTGATTGGCTGGCCTTAGGCCCATGTCTGTCCCTGGAACTGGGACATCAACACCACTTAAACCTCATGGACTGAGGTCTGTGGGAGTATCGTGAGCAGCAGGAGGAATGGGCTGACAAGCAGCAGTGTTCATGACTGTTGCCCCTTCAGATTTATCAAAGTCTTATTAGGGAAAGACAGGCTCTCACCATGGATCCATTTTCTAAAACCAAATACCACACCAGCTGCCATCAAGTTGATTCCAACTCATGGCAACCCCACGTGAGTCAGAGCAGAACCATGTTCCAAGGATTTTCAATGGGGGATTTGCTGGAAGTAGATCACCAGCCCTTTCTTCTGAGGCACGTCTGGGTGGACCTGAACGTTCAACCTTTTAGTTAGCAGTCCAGTGCACTGACCAATGCACCACTAGGTACTCCCTAAACACATGAGGACAGTTAAAATCCTAATGTTCATTTTCTCAACTATCATAGGATCATAAATGGAGCTAAACATGACAGCTAATGTAACCAAATGCTGACTCTAAAATGGTTACCAACAGACCCTGACAAAGTTCCGTGTGCTGTTGACTATGACAGCTATGGCGTGATCCATCCCTCCTTGCAGCTCAGGACATCCTCCACACCAACAGTTATTTTGGTGAGTAAAAAGAAATGCCAAAGAACACAAGGGGACAGACATCACTCTTCTCAAAATAGATAACACTGCTATCTAGTTTCTCTTTACAAGATGAGCTAGAAATTTTGAAACAGAATCCAGGTCATTAAAAATCTATAAACTTACCACTCCACATATAGCTTTTGTCAATTTTTTGAATTTTTTGCTTCTTAAATCACTTGTAGAATCGTCTAACAGTGAATACACATCTGGATCTAGAAATCTTTACAAGAGAGAAAGAAGACTGATGACAAAAAATAAGTCAGGAAACTAAGTTTATAGAAAACAGAATCTCCCATCTAAATAAAACCTCCGCAGCTAAGCACTGATGATGAAGGACAGATAGTGCTGAGGACTGAACACGTGTTGTCAGTCCTAACCCCTATCTATACTTGTGGTTATAGTCCCATTTGGGAATGGGTTTTCTTTGCTATGTTAATGAGGAAGAATTAGTGTGAGGTATGTCTTATAGCAGACTGAGCAAAGAAGCATGATTAGGGGAAGACAGGTGCCATGCAACATGCAATCTCCAAGGGAACCAAGAGAAGGAAGCTGAAGAGACAAAGTCCTTCCCTCTAGAGCTGACAGAGAGAGCCCTCCCCTAGAGCTGGTGCCTAAATTAGGACTTCTAACCTCCTAAACTGTCAGAGAATAAATTTTTGTTTGCTAAAGCCACCCCTCTGTGGTACTTCTGTTACAGCAGCATTAGATCAGCAAGACAGATGGTGTTAAGAACTCACTTCTCAATTTCCTTTTTAGCATTCTTACTCAGCAGATCCATTTTTGTCATGATGTTCACTTGTGGAATTTCTAGAGAGATCATTGCACTCAGGGCAGCCATGACACCAGAAAGAAACTGAAGGAGGAAACAGAAAAGAGATGAACTAACTGTGGCAACAAATTTCCTGGTCTCCTACTACAAGAAGGCTTCTGCTCCTAACTGAAACAAAACTAGCCTATGTAAAAGAAGTGCAAATGCTATAGAAAAAGGGGGAGTTCACTAGTTAGATGGTCGACTCCTCACTCCTTCAGGCGAGGATGAGAAGGGAAGATGTGGATTAAAACCACAGTGATCACAGATTTCAATTTAGATAGTATCTTCAGCCTCCTTTCCCAATCAATGTTCCTCAAGGGCTATTTAAAAGAAAAAAAAAATTGTTGCAGATAAACAAATATTCACACTTTAAATAATCTATCAATTGGGCATAAGGCTCTCGTCTAAATAAAAAAGACTTTTACAAATATGCATCTGCCTCACTCTTGATAGGTAGTTTCTCCAAATCTGCATGATTTTATTAATATTCTTCTTGAATTACAAAATATATTATCATCTTCACTTAATTATACCAATAAAATCAGTTGTTCTAGAGTTGATTGACTCATGATGACTCCATGTAAGTCAGACTAGAAACATGCTCAATCGGGTTTTCTGTTTTTTTTTTTAATTGTGATTCGGGTAAAGATTTACAGAGCAGATTCACTTTCCAAACAGCAGTTCACAGACACTTTGTCTCATGACATTGACCACAGTTTACCACAATGCAACAGCTCCCCTCCC